ATGCTATGAGACTAGAAATCAGCTACAAGACAAAAATAACTGCAAAAAGTACAGAGGCTAAATAATATGCTGTTAAACAATAAATAACAGAATTAAAGAGGAAATCACAAAATACCTAGAGGAAATTGAAAACAAACACAACAATACAAAATCTGTGGGATGCAGCAGAAGCAGTTCTAGGAGGGAAGTTTACAGTGGTACCAACCTCAAGAACCAGCAGCAAGAACTTAACCTTATACCTAAAGGAAACAGGAAAAAAATAACAAAATCCAAAGTTATTAGAAGCAAAGAAATCTTAAAGATCAGAAGAGAAAGAAATGAAATGGAGACTTAAAAAATAAAGATCAATGAAACTTAGAATTGGTTCTTTGAAAAGATAAGCAAAATCAAGATTTGCATTTTTAGTAAGAATATCACAGAAGTGATTACGTATCCTCAGTAAACCTTCAGCAGGTACATAATGTGAGCATATCTTATTCCTGGTGAAGGCTCTGGTCAAAATTCTTTGTTCATAGTTATATTTCTCCACTATGATGTTACTATTTTTTTCCCTTTGGGATTAATAATTACATCAGGGGAGATAATTTCAAACAATACAAATATCCTATTTCTCCTCAGACTTTTGTGTACTGATTGTAACATTCATTGGTAGATCTTGTCTACAGCAGTTATTAGGGTGGCATTTCCTAATGTAAATTTTCTATTTAAATTTATATTTCTTTTAAAGATTAGAATTATTCTATAAAGAAGAACTATGCTTCCCTACTTACTTATTCAATTATTTAGTGATCAAATATGAATTCATGGATATTCATTTTGTTCTATGAATTATAATCCAATGCTCTAATTATTTATTTTATTGTTCAAATGGCTTTGACAATTGGGGACACCTTCAAGTTGGTTCCTGTGGTCATTTAACATGTTTTTATCCTCAAATTGCTAAGATCAGAAATGAAAATGCAGACGTTACTACTCATTGTACAGAAAGAAAAAGGATTATAAGAGAGCACTATGAAAAATTTTATGGCAACAAATTTGATTACTTAAATGAAATGGAAAAACAATGCCTACCAAGACGCAAAATCTACCAAGTGCAGCACAAAGAAATCTGAATAGATCAGTGACTGGTACTGGCAAGTTATCAAAAATCTCACAACAAAGAAAAATCATGGATCTAACCATTTCATTGGTGAATTCTATCAAACATTTAGGGAAGAGTTAATATCAATCATGCTCAAACTTTTCCAAAATGTTTAATAGAGAACATTTCCTAACTCATCCTATGAAGCCAGCATTACCCTGAAACCAAAGCCAGCCAGAGACACTACAAGAAAATTATAGATCAATATCCTTTATAAACATTAGTGTAAAAATTTCCCCCAAAGACCAGAAAGGCAAATTTATCAGCATAACAAAAAGATTCTACACTGTGACCCAATGATTTATTTCTGTGGTGCAAGGATGTCTCAATGCATGAAAATTAATCAATATGTGATACATGTCATACAAATGTAATTAACAGAATAAAGGAAAAAACACATTATCTCAACGCAGAAAATCATTCAACAAAATTCATGAAATCATGATAAACAACATTGAACAAAGTAGGAATAAATGGATACTACCTCAACATAATAAAAGTAAAATACAAAAACCTCACAGTGAACATCATACTCAATGGTGAAACACTTTACCATTTTAACTACAATAAGGAAAGGATGCTTGCTTTCACTACTTCTATTCAACATAGTACTGGAAGTCCTAGCCAGGGTAATTAGGCAAGGAAAAGAAATAAAATTATGTATTCACATTAGAAAGGAAAAAGTAAATTTATCTGTTTGCAGATGTTATGATCTAATATGTACTAAATCCTGAACACTACACACACACAGGCAAAACTGTTATAAACAAATTCAACAAAGTGGCAGGATACAAAATCAAACACAAAAATGATGCATTTCTGTTGCATCTCTGTACACTGACAATAAACAGTCTGAAACCTGAATTAAAAAAATTGTGCCATTTAAAATAACCTGATGAAGAATAAAATACATAGAAATTAACCAAGAAGGTGATAGACTTCTGCAATAAAAATTATAGAACATGCTGAATGAAATTAAAGGACATTTAAAATAGAAAAACATTCTAAGTTCATGGAATAGAAGACTAAATATTGTTAACATGTCAGTACAACCGAAAATAATCTATTCAGTGCAATTTCTATCAAAATTCCAATTACATATTTTACAGAAATACAAAAATCCATCCTGAAATTCATATGGAATTTCAAAGACTAAAGAGCCAAACAATCATGAAAAAGAAGAACATAGTTGGAGAACAAAGAACACTTTCTGATTTAAAAACTTACTACAAAGCTACAATAATCAAAACTGTATAGTGCTTGCATGAGGACAGATATATACACCAATGGAATGGAGTAGAAAGTCTAGATATAAATTCATGCATATATTGTCAAATGATTTTCCACGAGGATGCTAAGACCATTCAATGGGGAAAGGACATTCTTTTTTTTTTTTTCCCCTTTTTTTTTTTTCCTCTTTCTTTTTTTTTGTTTTTGCATGCACCATGTGGCATGCAGGACCTTTAGCTCCTCCACCAGGGATCTAACCCATGCCCTTTGCAGTGAAAGCACTGATTCTTAACCCCCAGACTGCCAGGAAAGTCCCTAGGACAGTCTTTTTAACAAGTGATGCCAGGAAACCTGGATATACACTTAGAAATAAATGAAATTGGACCTTTACTTAATGCTGTGTACAAAAATTAACTCAAAACAAATGGAAGACCTAAACATAAGAACTGTGTGTGTTCAGTCACTTCAGTCGTATCTGACTCTTTCCAACTGTATGGACTGTAGCCTGCCAGGCTTCTTGTCCATGGGATCCTCCAGGCAAAAACACTGGAGTGGATTGCCATGCTCTCCTTGAGCAGATCTTCCGAAACCAAGGATTGAACCCAGGGTCTCCCACGTTTCTTCATCACAGATGGATTCTTTGCTGCTGAGCCACTGGGGAAGCCCTAAACCTTTAAAATTTCTAGAAGAAAATCTAAGGTAGAGAGCTATTTGGAAATTATTTCTTGGATATGACACCAAAGGCACAGCAACAAAAGAGAAAAAAGACAAATAGGGTGCATGAAAATTGAAAACTACTGTTTTCAAAAGACTCTATAAACAGAGTAAAAAGACAACTAACAAGTGGCAGAAAATCTTTATAAATCATATAAATGATAAAGGATGAATATCAAAAGACTCTTAACAGACTAAAAGGATGACTCACAAATGGGGGAAAATCTTTACAAATCACATATGATAAAGGATGAATATCCAGAATATATAGAGAATTTCTAAAATTTAACAACACAAAAACAAACTGAATAAATAATAGTCAAAGGTCTTAAATAGACATTTCTCCAAAGAAGATGCACAAATTGTTTATAAGCACATGGAAAGATGCTCAACACCACTAATTATTAGGAAAATGCAAATCAAAACCACAGTGAGATACCATCTCATACCTATTAGGTTGGATACTATCCAAACAACAACAGTACTAACAATATTAACAATCAAAAAGAACAAGTATTGACAAGGATGTGGAGAAACTGGAATTCTTGTGCACCATTGATGAAATGTAAAATGGTACAGTTGCTATGGAAAATAGTTTCTCAGTTCCTCAAAATTAAAAATATAATTGCCATATGACTTAGCACTTCCACTCTGGGTATATATATATAAAGAAATTGAAAGTAGGGACATAGACAGATATTTTATTCATAGCAATATTATTTTTGAACATAGAACTGTGTTCATAGCAGCATTATTCATAGTAACCAAAGATGAAAGCAACCCAAGTGTCCATCAATCAATGAATGGATAAATAAAATGTAATATATACATACAGTGAAATATTATTCACTTTAAAAATGAAGGAAATTATGGGGAGTTCCCTGGTGGTCTAGTGGTTAGGATTCAGTGCTTTCACTTCCCTGCCAGGGTTCAATTCTTGGTCAGGAAATGGAGATCCTTCAAGCCATGAGGCACAGTCAAAACTTCTGATACATATTCTGATACATGCTACAATACAAATGGAGCTTGAGAACACTGTGCTAAGAGAAATAAGCCAGTCAGAAAAAGACAATATTATTTCACCTCTAAGATATATCCATGTATGGATGTGAGAGTTGGACTGTGAGGAAAGCTGAGCACCGAAAAATTGATGCATTTGAACTATGGTGTTGGAGAAGACTCTTGAGAGTCCCTTGGACTGCAAGGAGATCCAACCAGTCCATCCTAAAGGAGATCAGTCCTGGGTGTTCATTGGAAGGACTGATGCTGAAGCTGAAACTCCAGTACTTTGGCCACCTCATGTAAAGAGTTTACTCACTGGAAAAGACTCTGATGCTGGGAGGGATTGGGGGCAGGAGGAGAAGGGGACAACAGAGGATGAGATGGCTGGATGGCATCACCGACTCGATGGGCATGAGTTTGAGTAGACTCCAGGAGTTGGTGATGGACAGGGAGGCCTGGCGTGCTGTGATTCATGGGGTCGCAGAGTCGGACACTACTGAGCGACTGAACTGAACTGAACTGAAGACATATCCAGATTAGTTAAATTTATGAAGATGAAAAGTAGAATGCTATTTGTCAGGCTATGGGGAAGAAGATAATGAATTAATGTTAAATGAGTATAGATTTTCAGTTTTGTAGGATGAAAATAGTCCCAGATATGAATAGTGGTGATGGTTGCACAAAAACATGGATGAATTTAATACCACTGAACTTTAAAATGGTTAAGATCAGTAATCTGTATGTTAATGCATATCCTACTACAATAAAAGAATATATTTTAATATATGTAGAAAAAGGATAGGGCCTCTCATTCAATATCAGTCCCTTCCCCAGGCCCTTCAAGGACAGAACTACCCAATTCATATCTATTGTACTGTGCACTTTTTTCTGAGATTCTTATTCTTGCTTTTAGATGAAATCAGGGAAGCAGAAGAGGAGGAAAGTGAATTATTTGAAGGCCTGACAAGCCAACAGATCTTCCTCTGGCTACAAGGTCTGTTCCTTTTTGCCTTGGTATGGACGGTGGCCGGCACCATCAACGCAGACAGCAGAAAGAAATTTGATCTGTTTTTCCGTAACCTGATCATGGGTATGGATAATAACAACCCAAGACCCAAAAGCGTCAAACTCACCAAAAACAACATATTTCCAGAAAGAGGTAACTTGGTACCTGTTTGTTTTGTCTCCCTATAGTGTTTGGAGCATACGTTCCAAACCAAGTCAAAATATGAGATCCATGTGGACCTTTACAAAAGCCAGGAAAGATTTTGTGGGTTGCCTGAGCAGGTACACTTCTTCAGAGCTGGCCCATGTATGTAGAGATGGGTGACCCTGAAGTCAGGTCTTATGAGTTAATTTAACTACTAATTGTTAACTTAGAAAAAGTCAATATGACTTTTTAAAGTTATCTATAATCTCAACAGCATAATAGGCCCCAGGGAACAACATGAGAAATACAACCACTTCTGTTTTTCTTACTCCCTTCTCTTCCTATTCTCTGTATTTATACATGTCATATCATGGTGATTATGGTTTTAACATTTCCTTTAATAATTTTCATTATAACCTAATATTGAAATGTTTATAGTTTTGCTACATACATTATCTTCAAAATGATCACTTTAGTCATGTATTAATGTTCTATGTGTTCAGTTCACTTGCTCAGTCATGTCCAACTCTTTGCGACCCCATGAACTGCAGCATGCCAGGCCTCCCTTTCCATCACCAACTCCGGAGTTTACCCAAACTCATGTCCATTGAGTTGGTGATGCCATCCAACCATCTCATCCTCTGTTGTCCCCTTCTTCTCCCGCCCTCAATATTTCCCAGCATCAGGATCTTTTCAAAAGAGTCAACTCTTCGCATGAGGTGGCCAAAGTATTGGAGTTTCAGCTTCAACATCAGTCCTTCCAATGAACACCCNAAGAAGAACTAAAGAGCCTCTTGATGAAAGTGAAAGAGGAGAGTGAAAAAAGTTGGCTTAAAGCTCAATATTCAGAAAACTAAGATCATGGCATCCAGTCCCATCACTGGACAATAGATGGGGAAACAGTGACTGACTTTATGCTTTTTTGATGAATGATGCTACAGTTTTATAAATTTTGTTTATCTTTTCCTAGAACCAGCTGTTAGTTTCACTAATCTTTCCTATTTGTTTTTAGACTCAATTTTATTTATTTTTCCTCTGATCTTTATTATTTTTTTCTTTCTACTAACTTTGGGTTTTATTTTTTGTTCTTTTTTCTGTTTCACATAGGTGTAAAGTTAGGTTGCTTATTTGAGATTTTTGCTTGTGTGCTGAGGTAGTAAGCTTATAATGCTATAAATTTCCCTCTTAGAACTGTTTTGCTATTTCCCACAGGCTTTGGATTGTTGTGTTTTCACTTTTCATTTGTTTGTTGGTATTTTTGTTTGTTTTTCTCTTTGATTTATTCAGTAACCGAATGCTTGTTTAGCCTCCACTTATTTGTGTCTTTTGCAGTATTTTTTCCTTATAGTTGACTTTTAGTCTCATAGCTTGTTGTTGAAAAAGATACTTGATATGAATTCAGTTTTCTTTAATTTACTGAAGCTTTTTTGTGGCCTAGCATGTGATCTGTCCTGGAGAATGTTCCACATGCACTTGAAATAATGTATATCATGCTACTTTTGGCCAGAATGCTCTGTGAATGTCAATTAAGCCTGTGTGATCAAAAGTGTCATTAAAGACCAGCATTTCCTAATGTATTTTCTGTCTGGATGATCTGTCCAGTGATGTAAGTGGGGTGTTAAAATTCCCTGTTATTGTTGTGTTACTAGTTACTCCTTTTATGTCTCGTGTATTTTGTCTTATATATTTAGGTGTTCCTATGTTTGGTGCATAGATATTTACAGCCATCTTCTTGGATTGATCCCTTGATCATTATGTAGGGTCCTTCTTTGTCTCTTGTAACACTCTATTTTAAAGTCTGTTTTGTCTGATATAAGTGTTACTACTTTGGCTGTCTTTTGATTTCCATTTATATGAAATAGCCTTTTGAATCCTCTCACTCTCAGTCTATGTGTGTCCCTAGGTCTGTAGTCAATCTCTTGTATCCATTCAGCCACTCTGTCTTTTGGTTGGAGCATTTAATCCATTTACATTTAAGGTAATTATTGAGATGTATATTCTTGTCATTTTGTTCATTGTTTTGGAGTTGTTTCTGTGATCTTTCTTTCTTTCTTTTTTTGTTCTCTTAAGATTTGATGACTATTTTCAGTGTTATGGTTGAATTCCTTTTACTTTTTTTGTGTGTGTGTGTGTATTATAGATGTTTGGTATATGGAAACCATGAAGTTATATGGCAGTCTGTGTGTGTGTGTGTGTGTGTGTGTGTGTGTGTGTGTGTATAAGTTGCTGAGTTCTTCAAGTACATTTTAAAAATACTGCATTTGTACTCTCCTCCCCTCACTATTACTAGTTTTGTTATCATAGTTTACATATAATTGTATTCTGTGTCTCTTAAATGCTTATCGTGGGTATAGATTTTACTACTTTTTTTTCTTTAAATTTATTTTTAAATGAAGGTTAATTGCTTTAGTATTGCATTGGTTTCTACAAAGCAGCAACATGAATCAGCTTTAAGTTTACCCATGTGCCCTCCCACTTGAACATCCGTCCCACCTCTGTCCCCATCCCAGCCCTCTCGGTTGTTAATGAGCGCTTGTTTGAGTTCCCTGAGTCATATATAGCAAACTCCCATTGGCTATTTATTTTACACATGGTAATGTTTATTTTCATGTTACTCTCTCCGTACTTCCCACACACACCCCCAGCCGTGTCCATAAATCTGTCCTCAAAATGTCTGTGTCTCCACTGCTGCTGTGCAAATAGGTTCATCAGTACTATCTTTTTAGATTCCATATATATGCATTAGTATATGATAACTGTATTTCTCTTTCTGACTTACTTCACTCTGTAATAGGCTCTAGGTTTATCCACTTCATTAGGACTGACTCAAACACATTCTTTTTTATGACTGAGTAATATTCCATTGTATGTATGTACCATAGCTTCTTTATCCATTCGGTGGATGTCTAGGTTGCTTCCATGTCCTAGCTATTGTAAATAGAGCTGTAATGAACATTGGTTAACATGTGTCTTTTTCAATTTTGGTTTTCTCAGGGTATGTGCCTAGTAGTCAGATTGCTGGGATATATGGTGGTTTTATTCCTGGTTTTTAAAGGAATCCCCATACTGCACTCTGCCTGCAATGCAGGATTCAATGTGAAGAATTCACCTACAATGCAGGAGACCCCAGTTTGATTCCTGGGTTGGGAAGATCCACTGGAGAAGAGATAGACTACCCACTCCAGTATTCTTGGGTTTCCCTTGTGTTCTGTTTAGGTCTTTCCCCCCTTTTTTGATTGGTTGGTTGTTTCTCTGCTATTGATTTGTATGAGCTACTTGTATATTTTTAAAATTAATCCTTTGTCAGTTATTTCATTTGCTATTGTCTTTTCACCTTGTTTATACTTTCCTTTACTGTGCAAAAGTTTTTCAGTTTAATTAGGTCTCCCTTTTTTATTTTTGCTTTTATTTCCGTTACTCTAGGAGGTGGGTCATAGAGGATCTTGCTGTGATTTATGTTGTAGAGTATTCTGCCTATGTTTTCCTCTAGGTGTTTTATAGTTTCTGGCCTTACCTTTAAGCCTTTAATCCATTTTGAGTTTATATTGCTGTATGGTGTTAGGAAGTGTTCTAATTTCATTCTTTTATACATGGCTGTCCAGTTTTCCCAGCACCACTGAAGAGACTATCTTTGCCCCACTGTGTATTCTTGCCTCCTTTATCAAAGTATCCCTGGGTGTATGGGTTTACCTCTGGGCTTTCTATCTTGTTCCATTGGACTATACTTCTGTTTTAGAGTTTATTACTTTTGACTTTCAACCTCTCTGCTAGTTTTGTGTGTGGATGATTTCCTGCCTTTACTGTTGGTTTGCCTTTACTGGTGAGTTTTTTTGGTTTGTAATTTTCTTATTTCTAGGTGTGGCCTTTTCTTCTTTGTTTTGAAAATTTCCCTTTAACATTTGTTGTAAAGCTCATTTGGTGGTGTTGAACTCTTTTAGCTTTTGTTTGTCTGTGTAGCTTTTTATCTCTCCATCAAATATGAATGAAAGCCTTGATAGGTAGAATATTATTGGTTGTAGGTTTTTTCTTCTCACCACTTTAAAAATATGGCACCACTCCTTTCTGGCCTGCAGAGTTTCTGCTGATAAATCAGCTGATAGCCTTATAAGAGTTTCCTTGTATGTTATTTGTTGCTTTTCCCTTGTTGCTTTTATATTCTCTCTTGAATTTTTGTCATTTTTACTACAATATGTCTTGGTGTGTTCCTCTCTGCTTCCTCCTGTATCAGGTTCTCTGCACCTCCTGGACTTGGGTAACTGTCCTTTCCCATGTGAGGGAAGTTTTCAGCTACTGTGTTTTTAAATATGTTCTCAGGCCCTTTCTCTGCTCCTTCTTGTTGATGTTCAGTCTCTCAGTCATGTCTGACTCTTTGCAACCCCATGGATCGTAGTACCCCAGGCTTCCCTGTCCTTCACCATCTTCCAGAGCTTTCTCAAATTCATATTCATTGAGTCAATGATGCCATCCAACCATCTCGTCCTCTGTCATCCCCTTCTCCTCTTGCCCTCAATCTTTCCCAGCATCAGGGTCTTTTCCAGTGAGTTGACTTTCCATTTCAGGTGGCCAAAATACTGGAGCTTCAGCTTCACTATCAGTCCTTCCAATGAATATTCAGGGTTGTTTCCCTTTAGGATTGACTAGTTTGATCTCCAAGGGACTATCAAGAGTCTTCTTCAGCACCACAGTTCAAAAGCATCAATTTTTTGGTGCTCAGCCTTCTTTATGATACACCTCTCGCATCTGTACATGACTGCTGGAAAAATCATAGCTTTGACTATACAGATCTTTGTTGGCAAAGTTATGTCTCTGCTTCTTAATATGCTGTCTAATATGTCTGTCGTAGGATGAGGCTAGTCTTGAGGCTAATCTAGGTTTCCTAGAGGGCCAAGCTAGTGCTTGTTCACTGGTGGAAAGGCCTGTGTCTAGAGGGGCTGTGGGCTCAGGAAGTCCTTAGGCAGCCTGTCTGCTGATGAATGAAGATGTGTCTCCACCCAGTTAGTTGTTAGGCC